CCTGTCCAATGCATAGGTAATCATCTTCTTTGGCCTGTCCAAGGAAACCCAAACCTGCAGATGGTGGAGATGCATCCCATCCCCCACTTCCTATGCAGGCAGCAGTGGGGTGCACGCCCTCCCACCAGCGCGGGCGGCCTTTGGGGGCGTGCTCCCCACCCCACTGCACAGACACTCGGCGAGTGTGCGGCCCCTCTTGTGCGGGCAGCCAGCGGGTGCCCGCATCCCCCACCACCGCCATCCTGGCTCCAAGAATTCTCTCCAGACCAAGTCCACCTTGCAGCAGTGTGGTGGCTTCACTGTACCAGTCTTGAGGAGGGCGGGTGCCCGGCATCCATCCTGGGTGAGGGAATCCATTTGTTCTGGCTGTGGAAGCCTCATGGAGCTGCAGCGGCTGTGCGGCATGGTGAGGGCTCTGAAGGGGGGGGGGTTGGGAGCCACAAGACTCACCCACTTCTCCTTGGGAATCCTTGAATTCCTGTTGTTGAGCCTCAATCTTCACTGAGGGCTGGTCATCAACTGTTTAAGTGTTCAATTATCAATAAGCCGAAGTCTGTGGAAGGCCATAATGGCCCTGCTTTAAGTGGTTCGCTGCTCCTGCAGCTCACCACGCTGTCTCTGCTTCCACAGCCATCTTGGATCTCCCCAACAGTTCTGGATTTTGCCATAGTCTGAACCACATTTGTGAGCCCACTGTTACAGTCAGTGTGCCAAATCATCTTGTTGAGTTACTTCCTCTCTTTCTCTGACTCTCTGTATTTTCCAAAATGTTGTCTTTTTCTAAGGTCTTGTCCCTCCTCACAACATGTCCAGAATATGAAAGATAAAGTTTTATTAAACTTGCCTCTGAGGAGCACCCTAGTGCTTCCTCCAAGACAGACTTCTTTGTTCTTTTGGAAATCCATGGGATATACAGTTCTCTTCACTAGCATCACAATTCAAAAGGATTGATTCTTCTGTTATCTTTATTCTTTGTCAAACATCCAAGACATTAATTGAAAATACTATGGCTTTAATCAGGTGCATATTACTCTTTAAACTGACATCTTTGCTTTGGAGAGAATTTGGACAACAGATTTTCCCAATGCAATATTCCTTTTTACATTTTGACTGCTTCTACAAAAGGTGTTGATTGTAGATCCAAGTAAAATTAAATGATAGACAACTCCACTCTTTTCTTCAACTGACATGATGTTGTCTTTTGGTCCAGTGGTAAGGATTTTTGTATGCAGATGACACAACACTTCTTGCTGAAAGAGAGAATGACTTGAAGCACTTGCTGCAGAAGGTCAATATTGATTGAAGCTTAATATCAAGAAAACAAAGATTCTCGTCACTGGGCCAATTGACAACATCATGATGGATGCTGAAGAAATTGAGACTGTTAACATCTTCTGTTTGCTTGGCTCCATAATCAACATTCTTGGTACCAGGAGCCAAGAAATTAAAAGACAAATTGCATTGGGAAAGTCGGCTATCAGAGACCTCTCCAAAGTACTGAAGAGCAAAAATCTAAGTCTAGAAGGGTCAAGGACTGCAGCCTTCAGTATGGACTGAGGCTCAATGTAAAGAAGACAAAGATTCTCACCACTGGACCAATTGGCAGCGTGAGGATGGATGACGAAGAGATTGAGATTGTTCACATCTTCAGTTTGCTCGGCTCCACAGTCAAC